CAGGAATGTAGGAGGCCCACTACCATCTAACCTGCTTTTCAGTCAAAACGCATTTTCTTTATTAGTCAAAAAAAATACAGCAAAGGTTTTTTTTAAAACAAGTAAACAAAAATGGAATGTTCTGACTGCTGCTTTACTTATGTTTCTTTCCACGTAATTAATTAATTCAGATGTTCTTCCTTTCATGCTTTTCATAAAAATATGCTAAAACACCAAAAAAAAAAATCCGTATCAACTTTATAGCATCAAAGCCTTGAAATATGTTGGACTGATCCATTCTCACAGTGAGCACCAGAGAGCTGCTTACCAAGGTACGTGTACCGCCTGGCTATCACAGCATCATCGTTCAGCTTGTAATATGTGTTGTCAGTGAGATTCAGTACTTTGACAGTTCCTGTCCAATAATAAGATCCCGGTGCCCCCATGATGACCAGCTCCTACAACAGGAAAAATAGAAGGGTGTTGGGGAAGGAATGGGGAAAAAGATAACAATCAAAACTGGACAAAAATTCACACTTTACACAGTAATGGAGAAGGGACAGGATAGTAACAATCTCCATTCTGTGTCATGGTTACAACATTTTGTGTTCCTCTGTCCTTAGATACACTCTGCTCTTCAAGAGACAACCTAGCTATAGTTCATTAATTACAGACACTCAACGTGATTCAGGATTTTAAAAGACTAGAAATCAGGCAAAGTTTGATCCAGCATCCAAAGGTAGATACTCATGGATAATGTTTTGGAATCAAAAAGCAAGAGAGAGAGTGAAAATGTTGCCCCAAAGCATCCAGCATGCTTGCAGGGAAATCTGGCTCTTGGACATGGTTTTAAATACCTCCATCAAGGGACCAAATTAAGCCTGAGAAGTATTAAGCCTAGGTAAGTTCTCAATCCCTGGAGGAGACAAGAGGACAGCTGCTTTGCCTCACATCTCCATTCCGTGCAAGGTCATGGGTGAACTCCATCCTTGTGGGAAAGTGCTCCCACGCCTGGGCCCCCTTTGAGTGAGTGACCAGTTTCAGTCAGGGGGAGACATTAAACAAGGGATTTTCCTAATAAGACTACAAGGGACAGGACGGCAAACTCAACCAAAGAGCAGGATGAGCTTGGCAACAGCTTCTTGCCTTGGGAGGGGCCGTGCCCTCGAGGTCAGGGGATCATTTACCGGCAGGAATGACTACCATCAGCAGTGCTGAATATACGGTAGGGGCTTGCCTGTTTGACCCAAAAAGCCATTTATCTGCATTTCCTGCTCAGTGAGCTGCCATCAGGCTGAAGCAATGAAAGTTCAAAGATATCTTTTGAAATAGAGTAGCAAAGGAAGATTTAAAGCATGGGAACAGAAACAGGCTGGAGAGAGCAGACAAGCCAGGAAACAGCTGCTGCTGGATGAACATCCAGTTATCAGACAGTGCCACTGTGGCAACGTTGCCTGCCATTCCAGTTTACTCAGAAATCACCTTCTGCCATTTCAGAGGCGACACCTCTATTCTGCTTATAGCAGCCTGGACAATAAATTCTGCAGATCAGTGCATATATAATTAGGAGTGAATATCTATTTGACATGACAGTAACAAGGAGCCTGACACTGAAATATCTTTTTTTCCTTAAAAAAAACCCAAACCAACCAACCAAACAGAAAAACTCCCAAAAAACCCCAACCCTGAAATATTACAAAAAAATCAATATATACATAAGGGAACAAATTCATCCTTGACATAACTAATAGACTTCTGTTCAAGAATGAATATGGTCCAGTATTTAGAACAGCTCTGAAGCACATATTTTACCATGCTATTTTTTCTCCATCTTTTTGAAATAAAGAACTAATGCAGAACTAAAAAAAAAAAAAGTGTTTATCTTATGTATGTGTATGTATGTGCATGTGCATTTATATATTCACATAGACACATGTACCCACACGTACACATACATAAACAAAGCCATTGAGGGATGACTGTTTTACATCATCACTTAAAGTAAGGAGTTAACGTTAGCCACAGAGATACCTCTGTGCAAGTTTTGGGATGTACATAATAAAAATATTCCCTTAGGACATTTCCCAGAGTCAATTCATTCATTCTTGTCCACAGACCTTGCACATACACCTGCATACAAACCGCTGGGCAAACATTGTGCAAGATGCAGGCGCCCAGGAGGCTGGACAAGGCAGGAGGGTGTTTGCTGGCACGAAGGGACCATGCTTAGCCCATTGTCCAAGCCATGCTTGGGGCCCCCGTCCTGGGGCATGTGGCAGGAGAGCTGTTCCCCAACCCCGTGCCTTCCATGCGTGTGCCCCGCTTACCTCGGTGAAGAAGCCTGCAATCCCTGCCTGGCACGAGCCGTGTTCCTCCCCGTACTTCTTCTTGTACTCTAGATGGGAGAAAAGAACAAGAGAAACCATGGTCATCCCTGGCATGGGACACACTCTCCACCTGAGCCGTCTGCATTGCTGCATGTGCAGCCTCAAGGGACACCAGCACACAGAGCTCCCAGGTTCTACTGACGGATCTGCCACCAATGTGCACCATGGCAGTATCCTCACCTGCATCACAGGGAAAGCGAGGGGCCTGAAACTAAGGGGGGACATCCAGCATGCTGCCTATGGAGCTGCTAAACAAGCGGTATCACAGTAATATGATGCTAAGAGCAGCAATGTCACCCTGGTAAAGGTGCATCGGCAGAAGCCCCTGCCTCACGTGGCTAGATCTGCACAGGTGAGAAGGAAGGGTGCAAAAGGCAATGCCCATGCCTGTGTGCCACTGACTCTGCACCAGGAGGTTTAATCCCCAGGCCTGTCACTTCCTCAGAGAAATAAGTGATTCCCCCCTACAATGAGCCACCAAAGCTACCATAAAAATTCTCATGGAGGGATCCTTCAGGACACTGGCCCCAGGAGGACGGGAGCAAGTGAGGAGAGGGCACTGCGTTTTTAAGTCATCAGACAACAGTCTCATTTGGGGGATGCTCAGGTCTGCTGCTTTCCATGGCCACCTGCTGAGAGCTCCCAGTTCACAGGGGACCCAATCAGCATCACTATACTTTTGTTTCTGTATTTTATGTAGCAATTGTTTCCCCTATCAAACCTGATGAATTTTTACTTTAACTTTTTGCAGAAGAGGGAAAAAATATTTAAATATTTTTAGAAATACATTAAGTTTGGGTTTGGGTTTTTTTTGGGGAGGGCAAGAAGAGGGGAGGAAAAAAGAAAAAGAAAATCACTTTCCACGCTTCCACTCTGCCTTAATCCAAACATTTTGAGTTTAGGAGAATTTGAAACTCTGAGCTGGATCAGAACCATTGCAGGTGTTTTCCAGAACATTATTTTCAAATATTTACCATACTAATGAGTGCCCAGCTTGAGTATATTGCCACTTCCTGTACATTACAGTAATCCAGGCTCCAAAAACATTCACCATATAGCCTGGTAATTTTGAATTTACTTTTTTTTTTTTTAAAGTAAGCACCATTAACTCATTGCTAAATGATAAAAATTTTAATGAAATCAATGAGCAAATTGCTTCTTTGGCACCAAGCAAGTTCCTTCTGAGTTGCATTTTATCTAATTGAAGACCAAAAGGAATTCATTATAAACTTCTGCCTTTTCATAGAATTTTTTCAAAACAGTGTGTACACTTGCACACTATTCCCTCTTTATATATTATATATTGTCTCTTCCTAACATCATAAAGATAGTCAGATTTTAAGGAATTTGCTGAGGTCATACCAATTGCACAGGGAGAGGTTTAATTGGAGAGACCATGCAGAACAGTGACTTGATCCACCTGTTACAGCCCAAATGCCAAACATCCTCAGCTGAGGCCAGGTCCTGCCAAAGCAGATGTGTATCCCGGCAGACCAGGAGGGCCAGAAGCACACTTGGGTTTCCTCGTGGGAATGCACGACAACAATTCCACTGAGAAATGAAGCCCATGTTTGCTCATGGTTATTCAGAAAGTGATGGGACTGTGAAGCACTAGCTCTCCTCATACACTCTCTCACAGAGCCAGGCACTCCTTGCCTGGGGAAAAAAAAAAAATTGTTTATTGATATGAACATTTTTTTATTCAGAGAGCCAAGGAGATGAGGTTTCTCCCTCTGGCATTTCCTGAAAAATAATGCTGTGCATGTCCTAAAGGCTTTGCCTTCGCTATGGCTGGATTCCCACCCTTGCAAAGGATGAAATGCAGCAAGTTCCACGTCCGTCCCATTCAGAGGCTTTCACTTCCAGCCAAGATTTTCCCTTTACATGATGTACTGAAGTGTGAACAGACCTTGCCTCTTCTCGATATTGCACTTAATCTGCTGTAATTCCCATGTGCTTGTAATTCGAAATAAAACGCCGCTAACCACTGTGGCCCTGCAGGTCTGGAAGTATCCTTCTGCCTTACCTGCTAAATTTGCTAGAAGGCTTTTGTAATGCCAGAGCTCAAGGCTATAGAGACTACCTTCCTAAATCCCACTTCACAGCATATAGATGTATTTTTTGATGGAGGGCTAGAGGGCCTTAGGCCAACGCTCAGGCAGCACAAGTGAGCACCATGCCCTGCCTAAAAAGCCACCCCAAGGGCTGCACAGCCATGGCCGACCCAGCCAGCCAGCCAGGTGCCCAGCCTGCCGCAAGACACAGCACCCACCGTCCCTTTAGGCACTAGAGGCCGTGGCCCCTGCTAGGTCTTGCTCACAACCCAGGCCAGAGCACAGCCTCTTAAAACCCAAATCAGCCCCTCGACTAGGACACAAGGTGAGAGGACTTTTAACGCATATATTTCTTTTGAGCGCAAGCCTCGATGGCTTTCTGTGTCAGGCCCATAACCAACCAGTGTGACTGGGCCCTGCTGACAATCTGATGGATTTAAAATGTTATATTTCCCTATAAAATTGCATTATGCTTGGCTCACAGTTTCCTTAAGTGCCTCCTTCAAAAAGCACATGGCTCCATTTGCTTTAAAATAAAAGAGGAAAATTGCCATAGGATATTTAACTTGCACGGTGCAAGATTTAGGTCAGGCAAATAACAACATAACTGGGGGAAATGCCTCAGTGTGGGATAGGAGGGCAAATAAAACTTGTTTCTTTTTTTGGATTTTCAAACTTCTCATTCTCTTCTTTTATAAACAGGCTTTCCAGAACTTTTTTCACAATTCAGCAACATGTAAAAGCCTCAAACATGACAGCGACTTCCCCCGCTGCCCAAGCTTTGCCATAGACTTGGGTGAGGTCTCCAAACCATGGCCCCGCATAACTCCAGCCACCTGAGAGGCCCAGTCCACACGCACCTGTGAGTGATCCAGCCCACATGAGCCGTCCCCTGAATATGGCTGAAAATAAAACCCCAGCGCATGCAAAACTGTAGGATGGCAGAAGGAATGGTAGCAGTTTTAGCAATGGAACAAGGCTGCTTTTCAAGGGTGGTAGATGGATCCATAGCTTCATGCGGCTGTGTTTGACAAACATGCAAAATTGCTCCGTTTTGTTAGATAAACAGAAGATTTTCTTCTGATTAAATAATACATGCACAAAGAAAGACCAAATTCAGATCTAGGAGTAACTTGAAACAAAAGCCACAACATCAGAGGATATAGCACAGCTGATTTTCATCAGCAATACATGTATTAGAAAAGGAACAGAAACACACAAGTTACTGTTTTCATTGTCAGGCAATGAAAAACAATTACTCTTTAAATGAACCGAATTATTATTAACTGCGGTGCATAAGGAATGGGAAAGATTTGGTGGTTTAAATGGTTGTACAATAAACTGAGTTGGTACACGTACTGAAGCTCATACTTTCACAGACATTGTTCATGGCTTTATGTGATGATCAATTTTTTTTTAGTCACTTATATTGCCAGTACTATCTGCTTGAACTAATGGCCCTACATTTCACTTAAATAACTAGTTATGCTTTGTTTGTAACAGTGGATAGATGGGATTGCAGCATTCCAAGTAAATTCAGAGTTTGGATATAACAGTGCTTCTGTGAACTGAAGAAAAGACATCAAAACACTTTGACTTGAATAAATACCTGACAATACTCCTCAGGAAAAAAAAACAGAGCTTACAGAAGAATAAATGGATCCATTACAATAATGCAGCACAACACAGAGCAATGATGCAAAGCAATGATCGTCCTTCCTTCCTACAGGTATTGAGACTCCTTCTTATCATTATAGGGTATGAGAACATCACACATACCAATTAACCTCTTTTCCTAACACCTCTGAGAGAGAAAACAGCTTTAGTGACATTTTGCTGGAGGAAACGGAAGCACAGAGGCCCAAACGCCCCAGACATTGAGACTATTTGAGCATTTAAAGCTCCCCTGACACAGAGCAGAGATCAGCACCATGTTTTGGGGCGAATTCAGACACAGTCCTCCCAAGGGAGCCAGCAGCCCAGACAGACAGACACTGGGCTCCTGGATTCCAGCATAACTTTCAGCACAAAACCACCCCTCCTCGCTGCCCACCTAACTCCCATCTCCAGCAGCGTACCCTCCCTCCATGCCCAAGGAGGGCTCCTTTCCACCCACACACCCATGGTCACAGCCCCCTATCCTGCACGGTCACATCCAGCCTCACAGATGGAGACAAAAGGAGAGTTTTGCATCCTCCCTAGAGCCGGTCTGCCTCTGCCAAGCAGCAGATGAGCCCAAAAGGCATGAAAACCAAGATGGCTTCTACCTCCTCTCCACTTTGGTGCACAGTAGTGACACCTGTCACTTGTACGACACTGCCATCCATCCATCAATGCAGTGAAACGATCAACCAGCAGGAAATCATGCAGCCGCTGTGTCAGCTCACAGCTTTTGCACACCTGAATAGCAATATTTGCATGAGGTTTAGATATTGCATACAGTGGATTCGGTAGTTTCCATGTAGCTCCAGGCAATAACTGCTGTCATGAACAGATCCTTTGTTTTTACACTTCTTTATTGCTCTTTCTCGCCTGCCCGCAGACTGCTGTGCACCCCCGATTACAGAGACCGCAAGCCACTAAACTAACTGCTGTGGGAACAGCTGATAGCAAAGCAGTAAGATGAGGCTGAATCTGGAAGAGGTGGCTGCCTCTGCGACTTTGAAGATGTGCCATGAATAAATACATAAAGCAAAAAAGAAAAGAGAGTGGTGTTTTGTAGCCATGGTGATCTCAGGTTATAAGAAAAGTAAGGCCAAGGAAGAAGTAATTGGATAAAACAATATACAAACAAAAAGGATAGGTTGTGATGTGTGATGATTCTGAAGGCAAATGTTCCTCAACTTCTTCTCTGAGCAAAACTCTCTAAAAGTCTCTAAGTAAACTTCAAGGCCATAACATAAACACCACGGTGCAATAAAATCCTGTATCTACCATCTTCATAGATGGAAGCA